AATCCGTACGAGAGGATAGAGGAGAGGAACGTAGGAATTGAAAGGAGGAAAGTAGGAATTTCAGAATCCTAGTACGCTACCCTACAGGGGTTGAGCGAATAGAATTCGCAGGCCTACTTCCGGCTGCGAGCCAACCTATCAGATAGTCTGATTCTTACTACCAACCCTCCTACCCTTTCTTCTATCCCTCTTCGTCTTCTTGAAACAGGCGAGGCTCCTAGTCCTCCGAGTCTGAAATCTCGAACCCTCTAACAAAGTTGCGAATATAGAGTCCTTCGTAAGTACCTTCTCGATTCCCGAAGATGCTAGGCATAGTTCATCTTCTCGCAGTAGTGGGAGTAGAAAGGCCTCTAGAGTAATCCCATTATACTCTTTGACATTGCACTCGATAAGGGCAGCTATTATCTTAGGCTAGAGAGTCTGTTCGCGGCTCAGAGTATTCTCCCTCTTACAGAGCTTGTATACTATCTTCGCGAGGTGCTTCTCCCCTTTCAAGCTCACTGATAGAAGGAAACTATTAGCGGAGTAGTTATAATTTTCTAGTATTAGCCAGGAGGGTCTAGGAAGACTACTTAAATAAGCCCTTTAGGCTGCGACATCCTAGGCAAGGATACTACGGCAGACTGCGCGCTCGATTGGGCTGAAAATCTCGTATAGCAGTAGGAGTCGTACTTCTCTAACGCAGATCTAGGATTATTAGAAAATGGTCGGCAGGTGTGGTCGGCAGATAAGCTTACCTTTTTAGTCTCGCTGTCGACAATTTGTGAAATCTGCTTTATAGCTGCCTCGTTAGGGAGAACCAGACTCTCTAGAGCAACAAGTTTGTTCCAGAACTTCCGGATCGAGCGATGCCATTGGTTATAAGCAGTCGCAAAAGTGGAAGAGGCTGCCTGAAAGGCAAAAGTTCCAACAGAGTTCGCTGTCTCCTTGTTAATCTCTTTTGATGACAAAGGATTGAGAATCGTTTCTTGAGGAAGGCATTCGTTGCCAAGGCCCCCAAGTGCTTTATCGCATCGTTCACCAAGGGTGAGGGTATCCTATTCCCACTCAACCTGATCCTCCTTTTGAAATGTTATCTTTGATTTGCTTTTACTATCTCCAAGCTTAAGGAACCAGTCAGCTTCATCGATTTCGGCCTATTCGTCGGGTAAGAGAGCTGGATCAGTCTCTGCTTGCTTCTTAGCACTAGAGAAGTTAGCCTTTAATAGGAAGTAGGAATACCGACCGCAGATGCCGACCATAGACGCCGACTACGAAACTTACGCTTTCCGGTTATATTCTGCTGTATGCATCGATCTCCATTCCTTAACTAGGGCAGCTTGACGGTCCCTACTCAGCTCGCTAAACTCGCTAGACTGCTTGATCTAAGCCTTCTTGAACCGTACGAACGATTCATTACGAGCCTTTCTGTATCGATCCTAAGCTCTCTTCTCTTCGTCTATGGCGGCAGTACGCTCGCGCTCCTATAGGGTATTCGGCTTTAGAGAGTATTCTTCAAGTGACTTCGTAGCTGCCCCGAGCCTAGTACGCTTATTTTCCAGCGCCTCTAGCGTAACATTCTTCCGTTTCGGTATAGTGGTATCGGTACGGAGGTAGGTACGGACGTAGGTAGGGATGTAGGTACGGAGGTAGGTACGGTGGTGCGTGCGGTAGTACGTGCGGAGGTGGATGCGTAGGGTAGAAGCGCTTTGAGAAATAAAATTTCTCTTATCTAAGAGATTTAAGGTTTAGGCAGTAGCCGGAACCCTGTCCCGTGACCCCGAGCACCGACACTACCCTCCATAACAACATCACACTTCCGCGCCTATACTAAGCTCCTCTGCTACTACTATTATCGTCGATTTCCTAAGTGCCCCCCCCCCTACCTAAATTTTATTTCGAATATGAGTTGTTGTCGCTTCATTCGCTATTACTAGGACAACTGCTATAGGGTATCATATATAAATACTACATTATCTAGAGAAATAGTTAGACTACTAACTTCTCAAGGTATCGTAGTACTTTCTAGTAAAAAAGTGAAATCTCGTAGCTAGAGTAGAACGTGTTCGGCAGACGTGGTCGGCGTATAAACCATA